GCAAACATGTTCAGTCCATAGTCTACTTTCAACATGCATCTCCCCTCCTGGGAAGATCCTTCCAAACACCCTTTATTTGGTGCTCCCTTCTCTATCTGAGCTGCCCTTTCCCCTAGAATGCCCGGCTGACCTCTAAGGTATGGAATAATCCTCCTGGTGCTGATCTCAGCTATTCTTGGGTATTAATCTCATATTTTGTTACTTTATATTCCCCAATGGAATGCAGTATTTCTATGTCAATCCCTCTCTTTCTGACTCATTTCGCTCAGCATGACACTTTCCATGTTGTACCACTTGTATGTAAATTTCATGACTTCATCTTTTCTAAGAGCTACATAGTACTCCATTGTGTTGATGTACCAAAGTTTCTTTAACCAGTCAGATGTTCTTGGGCACTCAGGCTTCTTACAGTTTCTGGCTATTGTAAAGACTGCTGCAATGAACAAACAAGTGCAGATATCACTTCGACTGTATATTTTTGCCTCTCAGGGATATATTCCCAGGAGTGGTATTGCTGGGTCAAATGGGAGCTCAATTTCTAATTTTTTGAGAACCGTTCATACTGTTTTCCAGAAGGGCTGAACCAGTCAGCATTCCCACCAACATTGAAGGAGTGTCCCTTTCTCGCCACATCCACACCAGCATCGGTTGCTTTTGTTCTTTTGAATGTGGGCCAGTCTCTGAGGTGTGAGATGGTATCTCATTGTGGTTTTGATCTGCATCAACCTGATGATTAATGATGTAGAGCATTTTCTCATGTGCTTTTTTGCCATTCGGATTTCTTCTCTGAGAAAGTTTCTGTTCATTTCATTGCCCCATTTTTTGATGGGGTTGGATGTTTTTTTCTTGTGGAGTTCAACCAGTACTTTGTATATCCTTGATATCAACCCCTTGTCAGATGTGTATTCGGTGAATATCCTTTCCCATTCTGTAGACTGTCTTTGTAGTTTGGTCACTGTTTCTTTGGAGGTGCAGAAGCTTCTTAGTTTTAGATAGTTCCATTTATCGATCTCTGTTTTCACTTGCTCAGCCATTGGCGTGGCATCTTTGAAAATACCATTAGCTTCAATGTCATGGAGGGTTTTGCCAACTTTTTCCTCAATGTACCTTATGGTTTCTGGTCTGATATTGAGGTCTTTAATCCATTTTGATCTTACTTTTGTACATGGTGTTAGGCAGAGTTCTGAGCCCATTTTTTGGCATGTAGCCATCCAGTGATGCCAGCACAATTTGTTAAAGAGGCTTTCCTTACTCCACTTCACATTTCTTGCACCTTTATCAAAGATTAGATGATCATATGTTTTAGGGGAGATGTCAGTGTATTTGACCATGTTCCATTGGTCTGCAGTTCTGCCTTTGTTCCAGCATCATGCTGTATTAATTATTACTGCTTTGTAGTAGAGTTTGAAGTTAGGGAGGTTGATTACTCCTATTTTCATTTCCCCAAGAATTGCTTTAGCTATTCGTGGGGGCTTATTGTTCCATTTAAATTTCAGGAGTGTTTGCTCCATTTCTTTGAAGAATGTAATGTGTATCCTTATAGGGATTGCATTGAATTTATACAATGCTTTCTGTACTATTGTCATTTTGACAATGTTAAGTCTCCTGACTCATGAGCAGGGGATATCTTTCCATTTTCTCGTGTCCTCTTTTATTTCCTGAAGTAGCATTCTGTACTTTTCTTTGTACAGGTCCTTTACTTCCTTAGTTAAACTGATTACTAGGTACTTGATTTTCTGGGGCACAATTGTGAACGGGATTGTTTTTTTCATGTAGTTTTCTTCTCTCTCACTGTTTGCGTATAAGAAAGCCATGAACTTTTGGGTATTTATTTTATAGCCTGCAAATTTACTATACAAGTCTATTGTTTCTAGGAGTTTTTTGGTGGAGGTTATTGTCCTTTAAGTATAGTATCATATCATCTGCGAATAGTGAGAGCTTGATTTCTTCCTTTCCTACCTGAATGCCCTTAATATCTTTTTCTTGCCTAATAGTTATTGCAAGTACTTCCAGTACTATATTGAACAGCAGTGGAGAGAGTGGGCATCCTTGTCTCGTCCCTGATCTCAGAGGGAAGGCTCTCAGTTTTTCCCATTGAGGATGATGCTTGCTGTAGGCTTGTGGTAGATGGCTTTAACTATGTTGAGGAAAGTCCCCTCTATACCCATTTTGGCTAGGGTTTTCATCATAAAGTGGTGCTGGATCTTGGCAAATTCTTTCTCTCCGTCTATTGATATGATCATATGCTCTTTATTTTTTCTTTGGTTGATATGATGGATTATGTTGATTGATTTCCAAACGTTAAAACATCCTTGCATCCCTGGGATGAATCCTACTTGGTCATGGTGTATGATATTTTTGATGAGTAGTTGGATTCTATTTGCTAGTAGTTTGTTGAGGATCTTTGCATCTGTGTTCATCAGGGATATCGGCCTGTAATTCTCTTTCTTTGTGGTATTTCTGTCTGCTTTTGGTATCATGGTATTGTTTGCTTCATAGAAACTCTTTGGAAGTGTTTTTGATATTTTAATTTCATGGAAAAGCTTAAAGAGGATTGGGAGTAAGTCCTCTTTAAAGATTTGGAAGAATTCACTAGTGAGTCCATCCGGGCCAGGACTTTTGTGCTTGGGGAGACTTTTTATTACCATTTCAATTTCCTTGATGGTGATAGGTCTGTTCAGGTATTCCAGGTCTTCTTGGTTCAGACTTGGGAGTCTGTAGGTGTCTAGGTATTTATCCATTTCCTCGAGGTTTTGATATTCTGTGGCATAAAGCTTCTCAAAGTATTTTGAGAATTTCTGTGGTTTCTGTTGTAATGACCCCCTTTTCATTTCTGATTCAGTTTATTAGGGTTTTCTCTCTCCCTTTCTTTGTGAGTTTTGCTAGAGACTTATCGATCTTGTTAATTTTCTTGAAGAACCAGCTCTTGGTTTTATTGATCTTTCAGATTGTTCTTTGGGTTTCCATCTCATTAATCTCTGCTCTGAGTTTTATTACTTCCTTCCTCCTGTTTGAGTTGTGCTCCTTTTGTTGGTCCTTCTCCAAGCTCTTAAGCTGTGAGGTTAGGTTATATATGCGTGCTCACTCCTCCTTCCTGATGAATGCTTGTATAGCTATAAACTTTCCTCTTAACATAGCTTTTGCTGTTTCCCATAAGTTTTGGTAACTCGTGTCCTCCTTTTCATTCGTTTCTAGGAATCTTTTAATTTCCTCTTTGATTTCCTTTCTAAGCCACTCGTTGTTGAATAGAGCACTGTTTAATTTCCAGTTGTTTGATTTAGTTTTCTGTTTTTGTGTGTGATTTACTTCTAATTTCAGCGCATTATGGTCTGAGAAGATTGTTGATACAATCTCTATCTTCTTAATTTTATGGAGGCATGTTTTGTGGCTCAGCATGTGGTCTATCTTGAAGAATATTCCATGTACGCTTGAGAAGAATGTGTATTCAGCTTTTTGAGGATGAAGTGTCCTGTATATATCTACTAAGTCCCTTTCTTCCATTGTTTCCCTGAAATGAAGTATGTCCTTGCAAAGCTTGAGTCTGGTTGATCTATCAAGAGGTAACAAAGCGGTGTTGAGGTCTCCCACTAGTATTGTGTTGCTATTGAGGTCTTTTTCCAAATCTATGAGTAGTTGTTTTAAGTACTTTGCTGGTCTCTCATTAGATGCATATACATTTATTATTGTAAATTCTTCCTGTTGTACAGATCCTTTGATCAATAAGAAATGGCCTTCAGTGACCATTGACCAACAGTGTCTTCTGGGTTAGCCTCTTCAATAGGAAAGTTTGGTGGGCTTTTGCGTTGCTTTACCATTGTGACCAGTGTGGTTTAGTCCTTCACGTTCACTGTTACTATTCTGCTTGATATGCAGAGTTAGTTGAGATAAGGTTATGAGTTATTGGCTACTGTGTTTCTAGTGGCTGAAATAACCTAGAGAAGGTTCCATAACGCAGCTGCGGCTCCCGAAAGGGTCCCTGGCGGGTCGCTGGGCTGTACCTGGTTGAATGAGGAGAGAGTGCCCTGGGACGTTCAGCTTTGTTGCTAAAAGATGGGCTTCTGTTCCCGTCCCACGCAAATCAAGGGAGAAAACCGGCTGTTCTAGGGGATCGAGCTAGCTGCGCATGCCCAGAGAGAGTCTCAAGCCCTGGGGGCAGGCTGTACCTGGTTGAATGAGGGGAAAGTGCCCGGAGATGTTCAGCTTTGTTGTCGAGAGATCCTAATAGTTATTTTTGATAACACATATTACTATATTCTTGTTTGATATTCTTAAATATTATAATTTTATTCCACCACTTATGACTAATGCTAACAATTTTGTTGATGGGCCTGGGAGGTAGCTCAAAGGGCTAAAGTTCATGGTTTGCATTGTGGGGGGCCTGTGCTTAATACCCAGCACCAAATGTTCCCTGGCTAATAGTATTGACCCCTGAATCCTAAGATAGATTGTATTAGCCCCAAAAATAAAATTAGTTGAAATATTTTGTTATAAATTTTACTTCGTTAAACTTTTGGAGTATATACTCTCTGCTTTACTTTATCTCATAGTTGTCAATATACAGTCTCAAAATATTTTTATTGAGGCCAGAGCAATAGTACATCAGGTACAATACAGGGTTTTACCTTGCACAAGGCCAACCCAGGTTCAATTCCCTCATCCCAACTGGCCACCCAAGTAATACCCAAAGTAAATCCTGAGTGCAGAGCCAGGAGTAACAAAATAATAAACAAATAAAAAAAGTTTTTGATCATGTCTAATAGCATACATAAAATATTTACCTACCAAGATATTCTAGACTTTTTTCCACAGCTTCTTATGAATAGTTTTACTTTTCATGTATGTAAGACACTGATAAACTAAGTTTAAATTTTATTTTTGTGGTCTTACAGTCTTACCAACACACTTTATGAGAATTAACCTTTTAAAATTCATAAGGTATTCTTATGCCTATTTCCCCCATGACATACATGTAATGGATACATATTCTGCTTATGTTACAGTCGTTTGTGAAGGATTATATGATTTCTATTACCAGACTTCTGTTGGGATTGGACACAACACCAGGATCTGGGTTTCTTTGTTCCGTAAGTTAATGAAGTAGAATTTTTCATTTGATTTGGTTTGTTTTGGTTTGGGTTTTATGAGCCATACCCAATAATGCTTGCTCCTGACTCTGTGCTCAGGAATCATTCCTGTGCTCAGGAATCATTCCAGCAAAGCTTGGGCTTACGTGGTGAATGGTTTTTAACCCAGGTCAACAACGTGAAAGGTAGGTGCCCTACGCATTGTAGTATCACTCCAATGTGGAGGGCAAAATATTGTTGTGATAAATAGTTCTGAAATTCATCAATAGTTGACGAACTCTAAGAGTTGAATTTTTTTTTGCCACATATGTTTTTTAAATATATGTGCTCAAGAATAGCAGCGTGGTTTTTTTTTCAGTTTTTGAAGGAAGTAATATTCTGTACAAAGTTCAGAACTGTTATTTATTTTCACCTGGTAGTTTGAGATAACTGGCTTCTGGCATAAGATGTTATCATTTCAAAAACTAACAATTCCACAAATTTAACCTTTTTAGTTAATAAATGAGTATACTCTGTCCCAGCTTATTTACTGAAATGATCTGCTAAATAATCAAGCATTTGAGTAGCAGTGAAGAGCACCTAGTTGTGCCTTCTGACGCTTTGCCCTGGTCTCATTCTATTCCATTTCTTTCTCAATATGGGTATTCCTAGAACTTTTGGTCAGATTCTTATTGTGCTGGACAATGTCTTATGCTTTAAGATATTCTGCATAGGCTATTCTTATTCCCTAAGGTCCAGTTGAAACTATTAACATTCAAAACATCACCATGTTTTCCAAATCTGTCAGCCACTTGCCAGTGTTTATTGAGTGCTGCCACTAATTGACTGATTAAAGTTTGTGTAACCACCAAGGATGGACCTGAGGCGCAAAGGAAATAAGTTTAACACATGGCAAAGCACATAAAAATGCTACTATTTTTTTTTATTTTTTTTTTTACTGTTGTAGATTTACAATTTTTTGTGCTTGAGTTTCGATTATACAATGATCAAATACCCATCCCTCCACCATGCCCATTTTCCACCACCATGGATAATATCCCTCCCACCCCCATCCCTCCCATCTCACCCTGCCTCTGTGGCAGGGCAATCCCTTGTGTTCTCTCTCTCCTTTTGAGTGTTGTGGTCTGCAAAAGAGGCTTTGAGTGGCAAACATGTTCAGTCCATAGTCTACTTTCAACATGCGTCTCCCCTCCTGGGAGGATCCTCCAAACACCCTTTATTTGGTGCTTCCTTGTAGAGAAGTTTTAATGTTCCTTTTGACCATTTCTTTGAGGAAATTTCTATTTATTTCTTCCCATTTTCTGATTGGGTTGGATGATTTTTTTCTTGTATAGTTCTACCAGTGCCTTACATATATTGGATATTAACCCCTTATCAGAGGTATTGATAAGTAACTTTTCCCATTCTATGTATTGTCTTTGTATCTTGCTCACCTTTTCTTTTGAGGTGCAGAAGCTTAGTTTTATGTAGTCCCATTTGTTTGTCATTGCTTCCTTTTGTTTGGTCAGTGTTACATCTTTGAAGTTGCTACTATTTTTAAACCAAAAACTAGCAGTACGGGCTAGAGTGCACTCTTTGTGTGCAGACCTAGGTTCTAGCTCCTGCACCACACAGCCCCACTAAAAACACCAAGAAGTGTCCCCACCACATATCAAACTGGGTGTAACACTAGAGCACAACTGACTGACACCCCAAAACCTCCAAAAGATATGCCACTTGGAGATTTAAAAATGCCAGCAAGCTCACATCCAAAGAACAACAGCAACGAGTGTTGGCAAGGATGTGGGGAGAAAGAGACCCTCCTTCACTGCTGGTGAGAATGCCAACTGGTTCAACCATTTTGAAAAACAGTATGGATACTTCTCAAAAAATTAGAAATCGAGCTCGCATCTGACCCAGCAATACCACTCCTGGGAATATATCCCGGAGAGGCAAAAGAGTAGTTGAAATGACATCTGCACTTGTATATTCATTGCAATACTGTCCTACAACAGCCAGAGTCTGATAAAAACCCAAGTGTCTGAGAACAGATCATTGGTTAAAGAAACCTTGGTACATCCACACAATGGAATACTATGCAGCTGTTAGAAAGGATGAAGTCATGAAATTTGCATATAAATGGATCAACATGGAAAGTATCATATTAAGTGAAATGTGTCAGAAAGAGAGGAACAGACATAGAAAGATTGAACTCATTTGTGGAATATAAAGTAACAGAATGTAAGACTTACACCCAAGAATAGTGGAGATTTGTACCAGGAAAATGGCTCCATGGCTTGGAAGCCGGGCTCACATGCTGGGGGGGGAAAGGCAGCTCAGATAGAGAAGGGACCACCAAGTAAAGGGTGCTTGGAGGGCCCACTTTGGATGGGAGATGCAAGCTGGAAGTAGACTATAGACTGAACATGATTGCCACTCAATACCTCTATTGCAGACCACAACACCCAAAAGGAGAGAGAGAACAAAAGGAAATACCCTTCCAAAGAGGTGGGGGGATGGGGTGAGGGCGGTGGGAGGGATCCTGGGAACATTGTTAGTGGAGAATGGGCACTGGGGATGGAAAGGTTACTCAATCACTGTATGACTGAAATGTAAGCACTTAAGTTTGTAATCTGTAACTATACCTGACAGTGATTCACTAATGAAAAATTAAAAAAAAATAAAAATGCCAGCAAATTCTACCTTTCTGAATTGAAAAATAATGGCTGGATTTTTATTTCTAAAATGTAATGTTCAAAGTATTCCTGTGTGTTCCAGATGAAGATCACTGAGGATGACTTATGGATCAGAACATATGCCAGACTCTATCAGAAGCTGTGTTCTTCTACTGGAGATGTACCCATTGGAATCTATAGGACTGAGTCCCAGAAACTCTCAACATCTGAGGTTTGCAAATTGCAAAATATCCCCCGTTGTAATGTTTTATCTGATGGAATGCTGCCATTCTGCATCTTCAAAACTGTTTTGTGAACAAAATGTCATAGAAGTCAAAAGCCAGTTGATACCTAGTGTCAATTCTCAGAAGTAAAATACCTTGCTATTTGTTTTAGTCAACTACATTGGAATTTTATGAAAACTAGATTTTAAGGAACTGTCCTAGAGTATGTAAACCTTGCACTGTGCCCTTTGTGGATTTAGGGTTTTTTATTTTTCAAAGATTATCCATAAATTAATTATAAGTACTTTTCTGATTCATCAGAATAGTTCTTAGGATAAGGAGCTTAACCTTTTCACATAGACTGTGCAGTGAATAAGGGAGAAATTAAGCAAAATATAGAAGAGATAGTGAGCATTAAAATTCACATTTCTCAGACTCTGGGTGAAAATAAAAAAAGAAAGTCTGAAGTTAATGAAAAAACCCCAGGGGCTATGCAGTGCCTTCCTAGCAGACCTTCCCAGAATAAAGCACCATGAAAGCAAGCTAGAGTCTAATAATATGGAGCAGAATTACTATTTATAAGTGAAAAATCACATTGTTTTTTTGTTACATTATGTGGGTCTGAATAGCTTTTGCATCCTTAGTAAAATACCACCTTTTAAATTATAAAATAAAAAAAATGGAGTTATATCCCTTACTCTTGTATTACAATATGCATTATTTATTTTGAAATGATAAGTTGGACTTAGAGTCTTGGAGTCCTTTTCTTCTGCAGATACATTAAAGAGATTCAACATGTTGGTTAGCCATTTGCTTTTTTTCTTAAAATCTGCAAAATGATGACAGCTTTGCGGTTTATGTGCATTTTAGTAGTCTAAGTAAACAAACCAGTCTGTGATGAAATCAGTGAAGCCATTTATAGGGGGAAAAAGCAGAAGAGTAGGGTCTTGTTGTTAAAATTTATAGTTTAACATTTAAATCAGTGATAACTAAGACAGCAAGAAATAGTTCTATTTCTCTGAGCTGTGTTTTTTGTTGGTTTGTTTGTTTGTTTTTTGGTGTAGCTTCAGGAGTGACAAATAGTGTATTGCCTTGTCTGTGTTGTGGGCCCCCTACTTCCCACCACAAAGCAGAAGATCTAGTAAGAGCCAGCAGGGCCTAATAGTAAAAGTGTTTAGGGCAGTTTAATTATGGGACATACTTTGACTAAACATGGTCAAACTATTAAGAGTAGTAAAGCTAAAATCATATTTGTTTAATGATGAAGGAAGAGGCAAGTGCTTTCTCCATTGAACATGATTAAGTACTAAGACTTCCAGACAACATAGTATTATGTTCTTACAGTCCATATAGACTTTGTGAGTTTGGATATAGTCATGCCCTTGATTAAGTCCTATTCGTGGCAGTCATTGTGTTTTTGTGCGAACTTTGTTGTATACTGCTTTTAGTATGGATAGGAAAAAGGTTATCAGGTATTTGTATTCTCATCAAGGAACATTTAGCATTGCATTTTAATCAAATCTTTTGATCACAACTAAAGATTAATTTATTAAAATGATTTTATATCCCCAACTTCTACCCTATCGAAAAAATAAAACTTCCTTGGAGACAGAGAAGGGTCATACACTGAAAAAGCACTATATAAAAATTGAATGGCAATTATATTTCCTATATACCTAATGCACACATTTTTCTTACTCATAAAATGCCTAAGATTTTATCTAACCCACTCATTTGTTTTAACTATTTGTGAATTTGGCCATGGTAAACATAGTGGAGTAGAAAATAATTTCTCTTTAAGAGTAGAAGTCAGTAGATAAAGCAAAAACTAAAAATGGAATAAGAAATAACAAACATTGGTATAAAGATGCTTAGCACCAGCTCAAAAGGAAAAAGTGAATGCATACCTAGAGGTAAATAATAGTTATTAGGGCAGGAATTTCTGTTTTCAAAGTAAGCAATATTAATGTAGGTATCCTTAAATTGTATATATTTAAGTAATCAAAACCACAAACAATAGATTTATTTTCATAAAACAGTAATTTTAGACCCATTCAGTGATCATTTATTCACTTTATAGTATCAAATGCTAAATCCTGTCTTATTTAATGAGTAGGTTTTTAAATCAAATATAAATATTTCATAGAACACCATAGGGGTAAATGAACATAATGTCTCTAGGCTATTCCCCTATAGTTTTATAGAGTTAAACAATTCATTTGAGAGAGTGATACAGCTTTTCATGCTACATCATTTTCTAGTCTTTGTTCTGTGACATTCCATTCTCTGTGAGGGATGCAGCCATCTCTCTGGCCCCTGTTCACAACTCTTTATTTAGCTTTGAAATTTAAGTTTGTTGTTGAACTTTTCACTGGTGACCAAACCTCACTTGAACTGTGAGATTATTTATAACTTTTAGCTCTTCTCCTTAATGTGAACATTCCTACTTTCCTAAGAAAAAACATTTTGTCTTCTAAAATGCTACCCAAGACACCCTGGGGTTGTATCTACCATACTATCTATCATATATTTACAAATATGAATAATTCTGAATTAATCAGCCTATTTTGTTTTAGAGTTTGGGGGTAGAAAATGCGTGACTTCCATTGTATCCAGCTTTCTGGTACATAGAAAAGTAAAAATCACATTTATTTGAAGTAAACATACTGAAAATTTGAATAGATAATAACAAATATTTTATAGTGTGTCAAAATATCAACAACTTTGTAATATATGCAATAAATTTATGATTGTTATGATGATGGTTAGTTACTATATTCAGAAAACAATGTAGCTTTTAAAATGTGGATATTACAATGATTATTAATAATTTGGAAAGTAACATTACATAGAATTGAAAAATAATTTTTACATTAGCAAAATTATTTTGTAAGGATTAATGACAGAGTGGTTATGAAACACTAATCATTCTGTGCTGTTACTTTAACAATTCTTTCCTGTATAAAGAATTCTGTATCAATTTTAAGGGGATTATAATAAGTGCCTATTATACATTTTTGATATTTGTAACAGCAATTAGAGTGCTAGCTAATGAGTTACAAATATACCAGATATAATTAAAATCTGATTTAATTTGTTGAATGATGAATAAAATGTCATTCTTTGAACTAAGGAAAATAATGGATTTTGTAACGCCTAAATCACTATGGTATGATTGTTGATTGGATAGGCTCATTTTTAGACTCTATGGCTAGTGTGATTTTCATAGGTTATTTCTAAAAAATAGTAAAATAATACATAGATTTAATACATAAGATTTATTAAACCATCTTATTTAATATAGAAATTTCAAATATATTTAAATTATATATACCATAGCAGTTATAAATTAAATATTATATACATACTTTAAATTATTAAAACCAATTAATATGTTCATATGTTAATTATAATGGTCAATATCCCATTTGAAATGACAGTTTCTTAAGGTCCTATCTGTTTTACATACTCCTGATTTCTTTTCACATTCTGCCTAACCTAGAAAGGCAATTTTAGCAGAATTGTAAAGCTGATCAAATGAGAAAAGTTTTCCGGTAAACGTTTAAAATGATAGCTTATTTTTGCCTACTGTTATGTAAATTCTATAGGATTGAAAAATGAGCACATTTTTAGTTTATATGTGTTATGTATCTGTCATAGTTTGTCCTTGTTGATTGTTTCATTCTATGTAATTTTGTTGTTTAAATGGTATTTTGTCTGTTTCTTTTCCTTCCCATTGTGTCTGTCAGTCTCGAGAAATAGCATCACAAGTAAGTATTCTGTTTGTCTCCTTTTCCTCAAATGACTTTATACATTAATTTAGAACCAATAAAGTTTTAAAAATTAGAAAAGATTTGATTTGTTTTTTCAGACGTTAAAATAAAGGAGAGTCTAGATAAATTCTCTAGTTTCTAGTTTTTTTTTTCACTTTATGATAGGCTCATAAATTAGTCTAGTTTGCTCTCACATCATTTTCATACAGTTAATATATGTTACTAATGCAGTCCAAACATGTATTTTGCTGTGGTGGTATTATTAGATACAGTCACTGTCACTGTCACTGTCATCGCGTTGTTTATTGATTTGCTCGAGCGGGCCCAGTAACATCTACTATTTTGAGACGTGTTGTTCCTTTGTTTGGCATATTGAATACATCATGGGTAGCATGCCAGGCTTTGTCAGCTGGGCGAGATACTCTCAGTAGCTTGCCAGTCTCTCCGAGAGGGGTGGAGGAATCGAACCCCGCTTGGCCGGGCTGGCTGCATGAAAGGCAAGCACCTTACTGCTGTTCTATTGCTCCAGCCCTATTAGATCCAGTATGAATAAAATTTTCATCTTCAAAAGAGTCAGTTGCGAAGGAATGAGACAGAATTCACATGCTATAAAACATACACTTTAGTATGCTTCACTGTGGACAGATTCCCTAGAGAGGGGGATGGTCAGGCCTTGTGATGGATTCTCTAGCACACATTATGTACAAAATAAGTTTCTTTTAATTTTGTAGGGAAAATTATACCCAGGACCTCACATATATAAGATAAGTGCCATAGACTAAGCCACATATCTGAACCATGTTTAATTTTTTTAATATCTCAATCTATCATCATGAATAAATCATTAATTTTGTACTTTATGTTAACATGTGATAATAACTGATTCACTACAATTAAATATAGTATTAGTATAACTAATGAAGCCAAGTAAAATATAGAATTTTTCAAGGTTAAATATTGCTTTTATTTTCCTATTGTCATTTTTATTTTTTTAAATTTTTTTTATTAGTGAGACATCATGAGGTACAGTGGTAGACATACAAATTTTTTATGCTTGGGTTTCAATTATACAATGAGCAAATGCCCATCCCTCTACCAGTGTCCATTTCCCACCACCACATATTTCAGTATCCCTCCCACCCCCATCCCCCCCTCTGTGGCAGGGCATTCCCTTTTGTTCTCTCTCTTGTTTGGGGTGTTGTGGTTTGCAAAAGAGGCAATGGGTGACAATCATGTTTGGTCTATAGTCTACTTTAAGCATGCTTCTTCCATCCTGGGAGGATCCTCCCAACACCTTTATTTGGTGTTCCCTTCTCTATCTGAGCTCCCTTTACGCCTAGAATGTGTGCTTGGCCTCCAAGCCATGGACTAAAATTCCTGGTACTAATCTCGGCCACGTGGCTTTGTTCCTCTGCCGGTACCTTCAGGTGTGCGGAGAGTGGTCTCAGCATGGTGGTGTCTGGTCCTGGAGGTCGTCGGCTGCCGGAGACCTGGTCGGGGTGGGGAGGAAAGCTCAACCCGCTCCCTCCAAGGGACCATGGCGAGGAACAGCCAGGTGCGGGGGCTGAGATCTCCAAGCCTACTAGGATAGGAGTCGAGCATCCTCCACCCAGATCCTCCAAATTCCAGTAGGCGGGGGTCACACCCACCAACTGGCCCCCTGGCGCCGTGTAATCCCATCAGCGGCCAAGACTCAGAGACTATAAAAACCAGATCCCGGAGGGAGAACAGTGCAGTCTCCTGCCCCCGCGTCTGGCTGTTCCTCACCGTGGCCCCTTGGAGGGAGCGGGTTGAGCTTTCCTCCCCGCACCGACCAGGTCTCCGACAGCCGACGACCTCCAGGACCAGACACCACCATGCTGAGACCACTCTCCGCACACCTGAAGGTACCGGCAGAGGGACAAAGCCACGTGGGTTCCGGGGCCGAGATCTCCAAGCCTACTCGGATTGGAGTCGCGCATCCTCCACCCAGATCCTCCAAATTCCAGTAGGCGGGGGTCACACCCATCAACTGGCCCCCTGGCGCCGTGTAATCCCATCAGCGGCCAAGACTCAGAGACTATAAAAACCAGATCCTGGAACTGCATGGCAGCATTTGCGGCCACGCGACATTTTATTATGACATCTCATTTCTACTTTGACAAACTGGCAGGCTCCCGAATGTAACCTGCCCACACGGAAGAGTCTGGCAAACTCCCTGTGTCGTACCCAATATGCCAAATACCAGTAACAATGATGGGTCTCATTCTCCTAAAGAGCCTTGAATATAATCTCAGGGCTAGGATGAAGGAGACGTTACTGGGGCCTGCTCGAGGCAATCGACGAATAACAGGATGATCTGATCTGTGATCTGTGAATCTCGGCCATTCTTGGGTGTTAGTCTCCTATTTTGTTACTTTATGTTCCCCAGATGAATGCAATATTTCTATGACTATCTCTCTCTTTCTGAGACATTTCACTTAGCATGATACTTTCCATGTAGTACCACTTGTATGTAAATTTCATGATTTTGTCTTTTCTAACAGCTACATAGTACTCCATTGTGTAGATGTACCAAAGTTTCTTTAACCACTCATCTATTCTCGGGCTCTCAGGTTTTTTCCAGAATCTGGCTATTGTAAAGAGTGCTGCAATGAACAAACAACTGAAAATGTCACTTCGACTATACATTTTTGCCTCTCTGGGACATATTCCCAGGAGTGGTATTGATGGGTCAAATGGGAGCTCAATTTCTAATTTTTGGAAAATCGTCCATACTGTTTTCCAGAAGGGCTGAACCTGTCGGCATTCCTACCAAAAGTGAAGGAGGGTCCCTTTCTCACCACATCCGCGCCAGCACCAGTTGCTTTTGTTCTTTTGGATATGGACCAGTCTCTGTGGTGTGAAATGATATCTCACTGTGGTTTTAATCTACATCTCCTGATGATTAGTGATATGGAGCATTTTCTCCTGTGCCTTTTAGCCATTCAAATTTATTCTTTGTCAAAGTTTCTATTCATTTCATTGCCCCATTTTTTGATGGGGTTGGATGCTTTCTTTTTGTGGAGTTCAACCAGTACTTTGTATATCCTTGATATCAACCCCTTATCGGATGTGTATTGGGCGAATATCCTTTCCCATTCTGTAGATTGTCTTTGTATTTTGACATTTGTTTCTTTTGAGGTGGAGAAGCTTCTTCGTTTAAGATAGTCCCATTTGTTTATCTCTGTTTTCACTTGCTTGGCCAGTGGCGTGTCATCTTTGAAGATACCATTAGCTTCAGTGTCATGGAGGGTTTTGCCAACTTTTTCCTCAATGTACCTTAAGGATTCCTGTCTGATGTTGAGGTCTTTAATCCACTTTGATCTTACTTTTGTACATGGAGTTAGGCAGAGGTCTTAACCCACTTTTTTGCATGTAGCCGTCCAGTTTTGCAAGCACAATTTGTTAAAGAGGCTTTTCCTGCTCCACTTCACTTTTCTTGCCCCCTTATCGAAGATTAGATGCTCGTATACTTGGGGGGAGATGTCAGTACATTCAACCCTGTTATATTGGTCTATAGCTCTGCCTTTGTTCCAGTACTATGCTATTTTAATTATTACTGCTTTGTAGTAGAGTTTGAAGTTAGGGAGGTTGATTCCACCCATTTTCTTTTTCCCAAGAATTGCTTTAGCTGTTCATGGGGGCTTATTGTTCCATATAAATTTCAGGAGTGTTTGCTCCAATTCTTTGAAGAATGTCATGGGTATCCTAATAGGGATCGCATTGAATTTATACAGTGCTTTGGGAAGTATTGCCATTTTGAGAATGTTAATTGTCCGGATCTATGAACAGGGGATATTTTTCCATTTCCTCGTAACCTCTTTTATTTCCTGAAGTAGTGTTTTGTAGTTTTCTTTGTACGGGTCCTTTACTTCCTTAGTTAAGCTGATTCCTAGGTACTTGATTTTCTGGGGCACAATTGTAAACGGGATTGTTTTCTTCATGTCACTTTCTTCTCTTTCACTATTTGCATATAGGAAAGCCATGGACTTTTTTGTATTGATTTTATAGCCCGACACACTACTATACAAGCCTATTGTTTCTAGGAGTTTCTTGGGTGAAGTTTTAGGGTTCTCTAAGTATAGTATCAGATCATCTGTGAATAGTGAGAGCTTAATTTCTTCCTTTCCTACCTGGATGCCCTTAATATCTTTTTCTTGCCTAATTGCTATTGCAAGTACTTACAGTACTATATTGAACAGCAGTGGAGAGAGTGGACATCCTTGTCTCATTGCTGATCTTAGAGGGAAGGCTCTCAGTTTTTCACCATTGAGGACGATGCTTTCTGTAGGCTTGTGGTAGATGGCTTTAACTATATTGAGGAAAGTCCCCTCTGTTCCCATTTTGGCTAGGGTTTTCATCATGAACGGGTGCTGGATCTTGTCAAATGCTTTCTCTGCATCTATTGATATGATCATATGATTTTATCTCTTCTTTTGTTGAGATGATGGATTATGTTCATTGATTTCTGAGTGTTAAACCACCCTTGCATCCCCGGGATGAATCCTACTTGGTCATGGTGTATCATTTTTTTGATGAGTAGTTGAATTCTATTTGCTAGTATTTTTTGAGAATCTTCGCATCTGTGTTCATCAGGGATATCGGCCTGTAGTTTTCTTTTCCTGTGGTGTCTTTGTTTCCTTTTGGTATTAGAGAGATATGGGCTTCATAGCAACTATTTGAGAGAGTTTCCATTTTTTTCAATTTCCTGGAAAAGCTTGAGAAGGACTGGCAGTATGTCTTCTTCAAATGTTTAGAAAAATTCGCTAGTGAATTCATCTCAACCTGGGCTTTTGTTTTGGGGAAGACTTTTGATTACAGTTTCAATTTCCTTGATGTTAATAGGTTTATTCAGATACTCTAGATCTTCTTGATTCGTCTTTGGGAGATTATAGGAGTCCAGGAATTTATCTATTTCTTCAAGGTTCTCTTGTTTTGTGGCATACAGACTTTCAGAGTAGTCTCTGATGACCTTT